TGTCTTCTATGTATGGTATGGTATCCTGACGAATTGTTAGAATCAGACAGAGTAGTATCTTAACTTTATTTTGTCGTCTTGCTAGGCACTTTACCTTGAGCCTGGATGAGAATAAGGGAGAACAAGGTTGTATGTGTACTATTGGGAGGTGGTAAATACAAATATAAATATAAACTTTATTTATTTTACAACAACTATGAAACAAGTTATTTAAACTTATATTAATCACCACTCTTGTTGGCCCAGATGTTAGCGCGCGGGGTATCTTAGTGTGGGAGGAAACTGGAGTTTCTGGGGAAAACCCACGTGGTCGGGCAGGTGACCCAATACCATTTCACGTCCAATCGGGGAATCGAACCCTGGCCGCCTTGGTGAAAGGAAAGTGCGCTATCCACTGCACCATCCGACGACCAATAACGGAAGGAAGTAGCTAATTACTTAAACTATGTAGCATAACATTTGTTCTGGTTTTATCAATAAGCTATTAGAATAAGCACTTACTGAAATGATACGAAAATCTGTATTTGTGATGTCCTACTTTTAAATTATAACCTGATATATCTCTGAAAGAAAAATGCTCATATGCGTTCTCTGTGAATATGACATTGGGTACAAATGACTAACAACTGATCGGAAAAAGAAAGCACTATATTTATTTAGTAAAGTGGATAGCAAACAAAATGTCTTAGGAGATACAAAGAAAGTGATAAACCGATATATTTGAAAAAATCATAAAATGGCAAACATCGTAATTCAACAATTGTTTTCATACATCTTAAACGAACATGTGTTTGGAACTTAGAAACCAAATCATGGTCATAAATATTAACACAGCAAGTGGTTGGTTTAGGTTCTGAAAACATTTTTCATACACTGTATTAAAAATGTATAAAAACAAGTATTGTTTTACAAAGTGTAATCCAAAACAATCCTAAACATCGTAGTCCAGCAAATGTTTGTTTTATATCATGAACCAGCAAGTGGTTGTTATATATCATGATCAAGAAAGTGTTTGTTATATATCATGATCCAGCAAGTGTTTGTTATATATCATAATCCAGCAACTGTTTGTTATATATCATGATCCAGCAAGTGTTTGTTATGTATCATGAACCAGCAAGTGTTTGTTATATATCATGATCCAGCAAGTGTTTGTTATATATCATGAACCAGCAAGTGTTAGTTATATATCATGATCCAGCAAGTGTTTGTTATATATCATGAACCAGCAAGTGTTTGTTATATATCATGATCCAGCAAATGTTTGCTATATATCATGATCCAGCAAGTGCTTGTCAAAATGATAATTTTCTGTGATAGCTATATTATCAATTTACACATAATAGTGACCATAGATAATTTTGGATATATAAAATTAAAGGACAAACGACATAAGGAACAAAGGTCCGAACAAGATATATAATAACAAAATGTATAAAAGCAACTCAATTTAATATATATGGAAAACGGCAGATTTTGTTAGGTAGCATAGTTATAAAGATGTCCCTGTCAATGTGTAAGAACTTTAACTTTACAATGATATGTCAAAGATTTAGATCGAGTTTACAGTAACCTATTCATTTGGTGCTGGATTGATCAAGTGGTGAAATGTATTCATTTCCATGTGATTGTAAAAACACCGCTGTTGAGCTTTATGACTTCTTATTTCTCTTCAAACGAGACCATATTTCTCTTCAAACGAGAAAAATCGAGACACAATATAATACTTTGAGTAAAAATAAATACATGTCTGAAAAAGTACAGCAATCAATTACTTTTACAATTACTTAATTACTTAAAAAGCGGCAATTGGTTTTTTGTTTGAAAGATAAACAGGTCTAGTTGTCTTATTATCCGTATCAACTTTTGAGTTCGGAATATTGTAATCATAGACGGTATTTCATTCCGAATTCGGACCAAGTATTATATCAGTAGCTTTTGTTTGCGTTCGTTATTCTCGTGTTTTTTATAGAGCTTATCAGAAAGTATAAAATTGCAAAACTTTGATAAGTAACATGTTCATTCTACGTTTCTACATTAAAGCCAAAATCAAACAAACTAAAAATAGAAGGCACTAAAATATTAGAAATATTTAGGAACATGTGATATATACAACTCACGAAGCGGTACAGATTGTAATCCATATTACATACTGTATAACAGGAAATGTCGGTGGAATTTTTCTGTCGTAGTTTAAAGTCATTTTGATTACTCAATGCTCATGTATATCAAACAGATTCATTGTATATATTTTTGAGACTCCATAGCAACCTTGCAAAACACGAATGTTCATACACAGCACACATTTCATGTTATACGGTAGCGTTGTGATAAATCGTATTCTAAACTGCATTTGCTCGTTACATATTTGTTCCTGTGTCAACTTATTAAGTCACCAACAAACAACAAACTCAAAACATACATAAGGTCTATATATAAAAAAAAACATGTTTTAACAGGATCTTTGCACTGTAATGATATTCAATGCAATACATACACATGTAATAATGAAATTCTGGTATTTATCCAGCTGTTGTGGATAAATTATTTTCTTAAAATATTTTGCCAATGGTTTGCTTCAAATTGTACATTTACACTATATACCAAATATAATTGATCACGGTCCAGTAAATACTTAAGTATTACATAAACAGAGCCAAAAGTAACCCGCTCGGATTGAATAGCCATTTTTATGAGAATATATAGAACGGGAGTTGTCCTAACACTAAAATATCCTTTGAGAGGATAATGCATATGTTTTAAATATAGGTTTTCTTGCCAAAGGAGCTAATATGACATTGAAAATATTGGGTTAAATAACATCAAATTTTTACTGAAATATCAAATGTGTTAAAGTATTCCCCTAATTGTGTCACGATACTGTAGATTATTGTCGCATTGATTAATCTAAATATGAATCTACCTAATACATTTCAGGTTGGCCAACATGAGCGGATAGATATACAAGTAAAGTACAGTAGACGAATGCTAACATTTTGTAAAAACCTAACACGGTTCAAAGATAAAACAAATGTAAGAAGATATATATACTGACAAACAAAATCAACACATTTCCCATAAATTGACCAACATTTCGTAATTGATCAATTGTTGTTATCAGTTTTGAATAACATGGTATCATACCTTTTTTTATCAATTCACTGTGATGCAACCTGTCGTCTTTCCGTTTGTTCTTCAATACCACTTAAGTTTGCAAAATGGCAACACATGGCGCAATTGATTATCTCTGCCAAAACGTCAAAGACATTCCCAAACTATATGAATTATTAGATAAACGCATTTGGACGCGCCCGAATCAACTTGAGGCTCTTGTTTGCGTGTCAGTATATTTTTAAACAAATGAGATACAGTTTATCGATTTAGTTAAACCTGTTCTAAAATCAGTAAGTAGTCATAGCATTAAGTCACATTGAAGTCACAACTATCTTCGAGAGAGGAATAGACTTCAACATATTAATTGTAAAATAAACTAAAAAACATGAAATTTGTGGGTATTTTCTTTCGAAGTTTAGAAACATTTTGATCACTTAATGCTTATGTATATCAATCAAATCCATTATATTTATTTTTGGGGCTCCATAGCAACCATGAAAAGCACAAATGTTCATACAAAGCAAACATTTCATGTTATGCAGTTTCGTTTGTCATAAGTCGTAATCCAAACTGCATTTAATTTGCTCACTATATATTTGTTGCTTTGTCAACTTAATAAATCACAAAAAACCGAACTCAAATCATGTATTAGGTATATAAAAACAGTATGTTTGAACAGGATCTTTACACTGTAATTATATAAAAAGCATCGCATCCACATGTATTGATAAAGTTCTGGTATTTGTCCAGCTGTTTTGGATCAAGTGTATTGCAACAATAACTTTGCAATGATTTGCTGCGATATTGTACATTTACACTACGTACAAAATGGAAGGTAAACCAGACTCTAAAACTACATCGTTAGATATATATCAAGAATTATAATCACCCGTTCAAAAACAATTGAACATGGTTTCTGCATTTCATGCTTGATTTGTCTGATGGAGAGAAGGGACTATTTGTAAATAAAAACGCGGTTTCGTGAACGTAACTGGATCGTCACGGAGACAAACGTAATGTCTCAGAGTAGTGATCTAATGAACTTTACCTTAACCAAGATATGTAAAAATTGATCACTCTCGTTACACGATGATTGTCTGTGGACAAAATGTATTACTTTTTCTATCCTAAACTTAGTTCAATCAATACTACGTCTGCTATTCGATGAAGATCGTTCGTATTGTTAAAAAGCCATCTTATCCCTTTGTTTATAATGATGATGATAAGATTACGTTTTGCATCCACATTTCATGATAACGATCCTAGTGAGTATATAAATCTGTAAAAGAAGATAATCAAATGTCTAATTTAAAAAATATCGAGAAAAAACAAACCTATGGATTAGAGTTTACAAACAATAATAATGATTGTCTGTCACTTTCTTGCAAACGCTATACAATCTAAAAGCAATAATAACATACACAAACAATAAAATCATTCAGCAATGTACAGTAATTGAATATACATCCTACATGGCGATGACAAAACAGTGTATCAATAGAACATTACAATTATTTGTTCTGTATCATATACACAGAATAAGTACACAGGTAACACAAACAAATCAGTCAAAATGCTACAGTAGTACTTTATCATCAAACTGTGTGTAACGTATGTTAATCCTAAGCTTCGTATACAAATGTATTAACTGCTACTATTGTTACACGATTGAAATATTGGTTATGTATGGCAATAATTAACAAAACCTGGACTAAATAAGATCATTATATCATGCTTTCTTATTCAAAAGAAAATTTCATTTCAATGTAAATAATAATATTCCTTAGCAAACAACTGGACCATTGATCTCGCTCCAGCATACCCTTACGTAATACATAAACAGAACCGAAAGTAAACGGTCACGTTTAAGACAATATGTAGAACAGGAGTTCTCCTAACACTAAAATGTCCCTTTAGAGGGTACTGTATATGCTTTAAATATAAGTTTTCTTGCAAAGGTAGGTAATATGACATTGAAAATATTGGGTTTAAATGCATCCCCTATCTATTTTGATATCCTAAGTGTAAGCGGATTCCTGCAATTATGTCCCTATATTTTCCTGTTTCTTTAAGCATGCTGATGGTACGGTTACGTTATGCATCAACCTTTGCTTATGACGATGCTAGTGAATATATAAATCTGGTTAAGAAAATCTGTATAAGAAGATAATCACGTAAATAATCAAAGAAACAAGAAATATAAACATTTGGATTATAGTTTACATACGGTAATAAAAAAATGTCTGTCACTTTGTAGTAAACACCATACCATCTACACTCAATAATTAAATACTCAGACTAACTCATACAGCAATTTACATCCTACATGGAGATTAGCAATACAGTGTACATTTTGTATCAATAGAACATTGCAATAATTTGTTCTATATCGTATACACAGGTCAACAAATCTAGACACAAGATTTTAAAACAACATCGTTAGATATATATTGAGAATTATGAACACGCGTTCAAAGATATTTGAACATAGTTTCTGCATTTCGTGCTTGCTTGGTCTGACGGAAAGAAGGGACTATTTGCGAAAAAAGCACTATCGTAAACGAAACTAGATAGTCCCTGAGACAACGCAATTGCCCGAGAGAAGTGATTTACTGCAGATTGCCTCAACGTAATCCCTCTCGTTACACGGTTGTTTCTTGTGGGAAAATAGTGTATTACTTTTTTTCCATACTAAACTATGTTCAAACAATATAACGTCTATTATTCGATGAATGTGTTTATCGTTCATATTGTTAACAAAGTCATTTGATCACTTTCTATAAGCATGTTGATGATGCGGATACGTTATGCATCAACAATTGCTGATGACGATGCTAGTGAATATATATATATATATATATATCTGTATTAGAAGATAATCAAGTGTATAGTAAAAAACCCGAGAAATATTATCTTTTGGATTAAAGGTTACAAACGATACTAAAAAAATGTCTTTCATTTTCTTACAAACACCACACAATTTAAAAACAATAATGAAATACCCAAACCATAAATCAAATCTGTCATTTCCTTGCAAAAAGCATTCAATATAAAAGCAATTAAAATAATATACTCAAACCATACACTCATTTAGCAATCTACAGGCTACATGGAGATGACACAACAGTGTATCAATAGAGCATTGCAATTATTTGTTCTATATCTTAAACACGGGTTAAGTACAAAGGTAACATAAACAAATCAGTCAAAATGATACAGTAGTTCAGTTCGTCTTCATCAAAATGTTTGTAATGTATGTTAATCCTAAGCCTCTCATAGTAACTGTTATTTTAGTATAAAAAAGTATTAACTACCTATGGTGGATAAATTTATGTTATATATTTAAGATATTTAAACTTTGATTATGTATGGCGACAGTTTGACTAAATTAGCATCTTTTATAAAAGAAAATTCTAATGTAAAATTATTATTTTATTTTAAAGTAAATGATATTATTACTAAAGGAACAGCCTGTTTATAGACCATGGTCCTACGTACTGCATAAACAGAACCGAAAGTAAACTGCTTGGGCTGAATGGTCATTATAGACAATATATAGAACAGGAGTTGTCCTAACAAAACATATTTCATGAGAGGATACCGTTTATGCTTAAAAAATAGGTTTTCGTGTAAATGAAAGTCATATGACATAGGAAATATTGGGTTAAAAAGAATCAAATATCTATTGTGATATCCTATGAGTTAACGTATTCCTGCAATTATGTCACCATACTTTCCGGTAAATTATTGTTGCATGGTTTAATCTAAATATGAGTCTAAAAATATATTTCAAATTGGCAAACATGAGTGGATGCATACACAAAAAACACCTACGGTAGACGAGTTCTAACATTTTGTTTAAGTCTACCAACAATTTAAAGGTAAAACAAATGTCAGCGAATATATTAAAACTGACACGCAAACAAAACACATCTACAAATATTTGACCAAAATTCTATAATATTAATAAATTGTTGTCTCAATTTTCAATAACATGGCATCATACATGTTCTCTGTCAATAGACTGGGATGCAACCTGTCGTCTTGCCGTATTTTCTTCAACACAACGCAAGTATTAAAAAAGTATACTCGGCCTTAAATGGCACGACATGCAATGGATTATCTTTGCCAAAAATATGTATATACAAAATATTCACTGTATATTGCAGGTGATATATATTCCCTCTTTCAGTAAGACATGAACCATCCTGATACGCTGAATTTGGCTGAACTGTCAAATAATTTACATCGACACCCATAATCACATTGTCATTGTTTCTTAATTCCAAGCATGTCGAGTTTACAGTGTCGATTTAATGTTTGTTCATTGTGTTATTGTAAATATAGTTAATGCAAACATGAAAAAGTGAATGATGAGTCAAACTTTGATACATCTGTCACTTGATCTTCCTGATTAATCAGGCTGACCAGATTTGTGCTGTTGTATGCCAGTCCATCTGACAAAGCTTCATCGCTGTCAACAAACTGCCTATAGTTGCCTTCGCATGGGAACTGTCTATCCAACACCGAAGGAGAGCTTTCATCCTTACCTGGAATGTGACAGGATGACCTTGCCCATGCTGCTCTATGATCTGAGGTGATAATCCAAGCTCCAAGAACAGGTTGGAGAACTTGTTGTCAATGTTGGTGACGATTTGCTTTATTTCAGCCTTAGATGGGACTCTATCCCAAACTTCAATTGGAACCAAATCTGTAAACAAATGTTATCTGCTGCTTTACAAGGTATAATGTTTTTAAAATAAATATTTAAAATAAGGTATGATATACTCATAAATGCAAATACTTATGTTTTTAGACGGAACAAAATGTATGAAAAAGATAAAATGCATTATACCTTGTGGACTCATTTTTATCAAAATAGATACCTTCTTTCAAATTTAAGTATCATAAGTAACGTTTTCAGTTAATGAAAAAAGGATTTTTTCTTTTTTTCTTGGGTGTACAACAAACTTAAAGGGAAATGTATTACAATTTTTCTCTAAAAAGTGTTCCGTTTTGGGTACTATCACGTTTTATTAAATTTTTGCCAGTGAAATATCGGATTCTATCAACATGATAAAACTGATATCTTTCACATTGTGACAAATATCAAAAGTGATAGTTTCACAGTGTGAAAATATCACTTTTTGTTATTGACCAATCATAACGGTATCTTCTATTCGCTGCATTCAAAGGCAACGATTTTTTGTTAAGATTCAAATGAAGCGACGGTAGAATAATTGGATGCTATGGTGGATGTTTGGTACACACACTCCAGTATTTACATAAATATACAATTAATAACATTTCATAAGCAATCATACCAGACAATAGCAGAAAACGTCGGAATTGCGTTGAGAATCCCTTTCAAAATGGCGCGCAGCCTTGTTGTCAAGCGTGACGTCATTATAATATGGCGTTAATTATTTCTGATTCCCGCCTTTTTTTAATGCATTACCATTTTCATGTTATATGCTTTAAAAATGTAATAAATAGAAAATTGAATGGTGCTGCGCACTCGTGAAAATTATCAAAATATTAGCCACACTTGTGAAATATATTTGTTATTACTATAGACACCATTAAGGTAATAGGATTGTGTCGCCATTTCTCAGTAGAATTTCTTCAAATTTTGTAGTTATATTGCTTTAAAGTAAAGAAAATTTTCTGCCGCAAAAAAAATATAGGTTGTCAAAATTTTAAGGATTTTAAATGGATATTTATGTAGAAAGGAGTGAATTTTGAAAAAAAAAAT